TGTTGCTGCTGCTACTGCTGCTGCTACTACGGCAACAGCAACAACAACAGTTTCCACTACCACCACTACTACCACCTGCTGCTGCTACTACCACCACCACTACCACTGCCACTGGCCGCTGCTGCTACTGCTGTTGCTGCAGCTACAGCTACTGCTATTGCTACTGCTAGTGCTACTGCTACTGCGACTGCTTCTACGACTACGACCGCGATGACGGCTACGACAACTACGACAATGACTACGGCCACGACCACGACAACGACGACTACTACAACTACCAGTACTGCAACTCGTCGTCCTGGTGCCGTCGTCGTCGTCATGCAAACGGTGGTAGCAGGGTCAGTGGTAATGGTAAAACCCATGTTTGGCAACGGCCGCAAGGTCAAAACTTGCTTTAAACTTCTCCTGGCCCGTGCCGCCGTGGACATTCTAGTAGGTCGAAGTAGGATGTAAAAACCTTCCAGTCCAAGCCGCATCAAGCTGCAGCAGCCGCCTTGCGATGCCTGGCGTTCTACTGCAATTTTGCCGTTCGCCCAACAACAGCATGCGCAAGCAAAGGCAACAACAAAGCCGAGTAGTCAACCCTGGGAGATAATTGGACCATCGGAAACGAACCATCGCAAATACCGGCAGAGCAAAGATAAGAACAGGCCCAATAAGTCCAAAGCAAAAGAAATTAGACGATACCAGGAACACTAACGACTTACGCGTTATTGCGCCTAAGCCGAGAAGCGAAGGTATAGTTTCAGTCGGACCCACAGCGCACGCAGCCTAGTAGATCTCAGTCCTGAGACTAAAGCTCCAAAGCTTGAGCGCTGGAGACTCTATCGTGTCTCCTAACTCTGAGACCTTCATCCCGAACCCCGGAATCCGAAGATGTTCGAGGCCTAAGGGCCTGATGCTTGTGCTTTCTTCAAGCCTTCAGACTTTGTGCCTTGAGCCGGGACTACTTCTTCAGCCGGAGTCTCGCAGATCGGGCTTGGATCAAAACCCAGGGATCAGGTACCAAGGACCCATCTAAAGCCGTGCTCCATGCCCCCGATCCCAAGCAGACCCTCAATCCTAAAACCCTCTCCTCCCCATGACCTAAACCTCACCTAAACAGAACCCATGTCTCCGCTTTCGGGCCTAACGCACGGGGATAGATCCCATGGCCGCGCCTCATCCTTCATGCTGAGGGTGTAGCGCACGTTGGGCTTAAAAGACACCGTATCCTGCGCAGCTTCTGCTTCTGAGTGTCGCAGCTTCGGGCAGACGATGTGTGTGGATTCTGGGCGCAGCCCTCGAACAACAGATTCATCGCCAAGGCTCCAGCCGTAAGCTTTCAGCCCGAAGCCCTAATCCCTCAGAGCCCGAAAACTTTCTCGAAAGCCAAGCCGTGAGCTGGATCTCTGAAATCATGCTTGGCGCGAAAGGCTTTTGATTTAATGGCAGGCTGCGGGCTTGCGGTGTAGCCTGGGAGTTTTAACCTCAAGTCCTGAACCGCACCATTTGGGGTTCAGGGGTACTGTCCAGAATTCCCGAAACTTTCAGTCCCGACACCCAGCACTGAACCGAGTGCCGAACCCTGGACCCGCAATCGAAAGAAGGCAGCCTAAACCCTAAACCCTAAACCAACGACCGGATCTCAAAGACAACCCGGGTGGCACCCGACAGATCAGCTGTAGGGCGGTGATCACATCGTCCTCGGCGCAGGGCTTTTAGGGTTCAGTCTGTATGGGAGAACTTGGGCAGCGGGTCCGAAGAATCCCCACGTAAACCCGAAACCTAAATCCTACACTACCTGGGCTCCCCAGCTTTACACCCTGCACCCGAAACTTTGATACCTACCCCCTTTCACCTCACACCGGCAATCATCCTACAAACCCCACTATCTGATCCCCAGACCCTTCTCTCCCACAGCCCCCGACTCCCAGCCCCCTGGACCATAAGTAAACTACTGCCTAAAGCGCTGTTCCTTGAACCGGTGGATTTCAGGGTGGTGTGAGACTCACGGCTTCAGGTTGATGCAGAGGTCTGAATCATACACTCGAAATCCTGTTTCAGTTTGTACTGCCCCTATTGCAACATCTTGCTTGGGTCGAGGGTTGAGGGTTTAGGGGTTGGAATGTCTGGCATGTGTTGCTACCAGTTCGCCACGATGGGTTTGGGGCCTCTTTATGATCAAAGGCGTGCTTCGCGATTTCGACCCCGCCATCACACTACGAACCGCAACATCATTCGACATCACAGGAATGTGTCAAGCCCCGATGATTTCAGTGAATACCTCCTCGGACCTGAACCCTAAATCGTGCGATCGACCTTCATCCAGCACTTATCCAGTGTTCCCAATTCATCCCCAAAGAAGGCAGTCAGAACTGCCAGAAGGACACCAACCCCTGAAACTGGTGAGTTCTTGACAAGCTGGGTAAAATTGTCGTTCTGCACCCGTAAGCTCCCTTGAAGCCGGTTAGCTTTAAGACCCTCTCGAAACCCGGAACTCTAAGCCGTAAACCCTGAACCCTGTATGAGCCCTCTAAAGCCCTCGAAACGCACAGAAACTCCTTGCACCGTCAATCCGGCGACGGGTCCCAGGCCTCGCTGTTCGATTCGGCCAATTTCTGAGCGATGGTCAAGGGCTCATCCATTTCCTTCTGCTTGGCCTTTTCCGGGGGTTAGGCTTCGATGCTTATTAGGGTGTAGAGATTAGGGTCTACCGTGGGATCATCAAGTTTCATGCTCAGCTGGCATTTAAGAGTGCACACGCACGAGTTTACGGTTATGGATTCACCTTTATGCGGATTCAAGGTGAATGAGAGCTCTCCTGAAGGCGGCCGTGAGGATTGTACTCAGAAATACGCATCATCTAGACAAGTAGCCGAAGTCGACAGATCAACAGGCTCGTTGGTGGCATGCTGGGGGAAAACTGGCAGCCGGACACACGTGACTACGTGTGCGTTCGTGTGCGTCTATCAGCAGAAATAAGAGAAGCCGATGCACATATGACATGTATACACATTTGCGGGAAGGAGCCGAGGGAACTGGAAAACCAAATATGCCCGAGGTCATGGGCCAAATCTCAACCTCTGATGACATGTTGGTTGCTACTATCCTCACTACCTCACCCTATCTTTCAAAACCGAACAAATACCACTGCTTTTGGCTCCAGTCGCCCTCGTCCAAGTAGTAGTCTCAGTAGTATGGTATGTCAAACTGTTTCGGGACATGCGCAGGGTCAAGCCAACCCAGAATCTTAAACCCCTGAACAGGTTTCAGGGAAAATGGAACCTTAAACACCCAGCATGCAAACAACTTCCAGCAAAGCGGCCATCAGACTTTCGACGACTCCCCTGGCGGCTGCAAGTCGGAACGTCAAACTACTGCAATGCATCCGACACGCTACGTCAAAAAGCCTGATTCGGGTCCCGGCAGCAGGTAATCGCACAGAAGCTCGGCATGCAAAAGTCACCTAAACGATGACTGAAAAAAGAAGCTCCCATTTTGCCTCAACAAATTTCGGGCTTTGGTTTAGTAGGTGAGGATCCTAAAATGGTCTTTAGATGGCTTAAACCCCGCAGCTTCATCGAAAATCCAGGTAAAGTGCCGCAGCAGATGGCGTCAACGTCTGAACAAGCTGTTGAAACGCATCCATACCGTGTCTGTCCATCCTCGAAGCTACTGGCCCCGTTGAAGAGGACTGGGCCCTTCCTGATTCCCCAACAAGACATAAAATCTGGAATCTTGGACACAGAGCCGGATACCCAGCCTCTGTTTCTCGTTGCAGTTCACCATGAGCAAGGTCAGCGGAGGTCGCGCACCCTTTGGGAGAAAGCCTCACCAGGGAACTCGATGCTAAATCCGACACCCATAGTCCATCACCTCAAATTCAAGACGCACGAACTCTGAAAGAACCCCAAGGTGTAAATCCAAACCCCAAAGAGAATGGAGCCTATTGCAGCGGGCTTGACGATGACGATGTTAGAGGCCGTGGGAGTGCATGGTGCTGCATGGTGTTTGGAGTAAGCATTTGGGCTTAGGGTTTAGGGTGCTCAACCGTAAGCAGGTATGTTTCAATATTTTGCAGTTTACTCTAATTGCCTGGGCTGATTTAGAACAAAGCCCTTCATGTATAAGGTACTTCGGCATGAGACCCTGAAAACAAAGCTGTGGGAGCTTGTCTAAATTACTAACAGATCCTGTGCCCGAACGGTGAACCCTCAGCACAATCTTGTGCAGTTCGACCGCAGGGGACCGTAGCTCCCAGGGGACCGTACTTAAGAAGAACCCATGTAAATCCAAATCTCGAAGCACGAGAGTGCAAGCCTCTGCCCTACAGTCTAGACTTCATCCTACACCAAGCGCTAGACCCTATATGATGAGACTATAGTGCACTTCGAACCGTAGTCGTTGGAGCTTTATTACGGCCCCTGCAATTCTAATTACCCCCATCTAAACCTCAACACTCCCGAAAAGCCCTAGAACCCACGCTGCCAAGGCCCGGGCGGATCTCCGCCAACCTGATCCCCCAAGCTTCGTTTACGTCTACGCGTCTTTTGGTTGAGGATTTTTGATCTGCACATATTTAAAATATTTAGTAAGCGGTTAGAACTTGGGTGAATAGGTTTAGGACTGGGGTCCAGGATTTGGGGTATTCAGCATGGGCTCAGTTGGGTTATTCCGTATGGGTTCAGCATTCGGCCATTCAGTAGAGGCCAGATCCATAGAGTCCAGGGTGGAATTTCCTGCTTGGCATTGTTGGGGTGTTCAGGGTTCTAGAATTAGGGTTAAGGGCTTAGTTAAGCATGTGGTTGGAAAAACTCATAATCTTAACCACCTTGACATTCAGGACCATGCACCTTTACGTGTGCGAAATCCTCCCGCTAGGCTCTTATTGGTAATGGTTTTCACATGGGGTCCATACTGGGGTCCTGCTAGTTACTGGATCTCAGATACTGGCTTGACCGTATCAAGTTGTAAAACAGGCTGCACTGCAGCGCATTATGCTAAAGAGCATAATCTGGTTTCCTTTACAGCATGGCAAAGCTTTGTTTGCACGATCATATGTTTAAGCGGTTTGTTCATGTTCTGATAGATTGCATTGCGTTTAAAGAAGTATTGGGTTATGCTATGTTCGAACAAGCATCATACATGATATGGCCTTAATATATTTCATATCATGTGAAACTGTAACAAGTCTTTTTGCAATCCAGTACGTTTTATCTATCTGACTCTCCTGTACAGTGCATGACATTACGTTTGTATCTTTCATGGTACATGGCATGTATGAAATACTGCATGACGTCATAATCATACTCTGTCTTATGAGGTGATGATGTGCCCCGTTCCATTATAGTATAGCATAAGATATCCTGTTCAGTCCATAACATGTTGTAGTCTACTATACCTCGTTTATATATATATATATATACAGACAGGTATGCCCGGAAAGGTACGCCTATACTATACATATATACTTAAATATACATACGTTCTTCTGCGTTATACTACGCTCTATGTTGTCGCCTGTAGTTACAGCGTACTATACGCTGCCATATAATCCAATCGATTTTGTCTCATTGTGTTAACTTGTGAAATAATGCGTCGTTGTTATACTATGTCACGCCGCATTCCGTTATACTACATCATGCATTAAAGTATGTTATGCTCCAGTATATTGCAATATATCACAGTGTATTGGAAACAGTTTGCTTTATGTCGGTGTGCATTCTGTTTCACTCTGTCTCTTTATGTGAAGTAAGCCTTGCTGTGTTATACATACGATGAACCATAGATCTGCTACCTCTATGCTACAAGCTTGTCAATGTCTCGAACTATATAATTTGCTCTGCATTCACTATAACCTCTGTACTATGTAGCATTGTATATTAAACCCAATGTTTACGTACCAAAAACTATGTGTTCTTATGTTGTACATCTAATGCTACCTATTTCCATTTTACCTACTATCTATTCGAAACTTTTCACTATATGTTTTGGGATACCTTTATACCTGTAAACCGCTTACTTCATATTCGGAAACATATAAACGTATATATGTATATGCAAAAATTTGGTAACATACGGAATATGCTATGTGTAAGCTCTTTCTCATTCCGTATCCTATGTAACTTGATTATAGAACGAACTATCTAATGCACATGGTATACTGCACATTACATATTCTATATCGAATATTAAAAAGCGGTCTCTCTCTCTCTCTATATGTATATATAAATATGTGCCTGTTATTAATGAGAGTAATGGCAGCAATAACATGCGTGCGTACATATACATGCACAGATGTGTATACTCAGCCTTCATATCTATATATATATATAAACACATACTGATGTGTGTGTATATATATATATATACAAACGCACTTATGCTAACGTCCAAGCATTACACGTTACATGTTATATGCATGTTCTATGCCTTGCACTGTGTAATAGGGATGTTGAAAAACTACACTTTGATCTCCAGAGGGTAACACAAAAGAGCATACGTTATGTCGCACTCACTGCAGTTTAGAGGCATATGTGTATCTAGATATATGGAAAATGTGTTCTAACTTCAAATGAAAACATCTCCCTGCATCTTACCATACTATATACATACACATATTGTGTTGTCTCATGTTCTCTGACGTTGTAGTGCTGAAAATGTTACAAGTATCGGGTATCTGGTCGTCTTGTTGGACAAGTGCGAGATTATGAATGAAACTACGTAGGGCTGCAATAGAGTATGCCATAAACTACGTTACCATGCCTGTTTATGGTATATTGTGTTGTGGTAAATACTTTGGTACACTATACGCTGGATTCTGTGTTACTATGCTACATGGTCATATATCATATCAAAATTCTGTCGTGTTGAGCGGACTGGTGCTGTCGTGGGAGTCATGTCGCGATTGTGTTCTATGTTACTTTGTGTTCTGTTACATCATTTTTAAGCGTTCAATCGGATGGAACACTACCTTGGGTTGAACTATAACATAAGCGCAAACGGCTTTACTCGGTCCTCAGTTGCCAGGTGTTCTGAAGGCTTGGGCTTCAGCTTTAGCGCTGAGAAATACCTTCAAATTATTGCGGCAGCCCACAGACGCAGGGAAGTTCTCAAGATGCAGCCATAAGCATACAAGGGAGCTAGCAGAGAAACTCGGAACACTTCTGGCATTCTCAACTAGCCCTGCAACACCAAAACCCTGAGCCGCGACATCAAAAACCTTGAACCCCGTACGAAACCTGATACTAAAGCTCCATAACAGCCATAACACCGCTGTAGGACCACATACGACGACAGTATCGTGCTCCACAAGTTCTGCAGCCTCATACACTAAACCCTCAGCCCCTAAACCCGAAACTCCTAAACCTAAACACTAGATCCCTAGACCCTTTTTCCCTAAACCCTAGACCCTGAATTCCCCAACACTCTCCCCTTGAAGCCTAAACCCGAAACCATAGTCACTTTCTACCACTCGAGGTCGGTACCTTCGCATGAACTCCGACGTCAGAGCCTCGATCGTCGTGAAAGATGGGTTGAGAACTTAGGGCTAGGGCTTCGAGTTTATGGCTAAGGATATATGGGGTGGGACATAGGGTCTAGGATTCAAGGTTTTGGGACGTCTCAGGCTTAAGGCGTAGGAGAAAAGAACTAGGACTTACGGATTCAGGATACCAGGCTTCAATGCTAGACTCGACAGACAGTGATGTTCGGTCACTGCATGAGCAATCATATATGCATGGCATGAGCAGTAACACCACCACAATACTTCGCCTGTCAGTAGTATTCGTCTTCGCATCTTGATACTCTTGCGGTAGCCCTTGCCATTCTGATTTACTCCTATTCGTCTTGTGTTCGGCCATTCAGACAGGCTGCACCACACACGTTGCTGACATAATTTCTTGGCATTGCTGCGATGCTATGAATGAGACATAGCAATGATCTTGTCCAGACATCTACCTATTAAGATAGCGATGCAGTGGCGCGCGATAGTACGACTAACACCTCCCCCTCCGGATATTGCGATTACCTACAGACAGCAAGACCAGTGGCTATGCTGCTACTGCGGCGACGACGAAAACGACACCACGACGGCGGCGGCAACTGCTACCGCGACCATGGCTAGCATGCTAGCAATCTTCCTGCTACTGCAACTGCTCCGATTCCTACTCCGCCGTTTCTGCCTCCTATAATCCTGCAGCCATTCCTACTCCTCCTCCTGCTCCTTCCTTACACCTACACCTGTATACCTACTCCTCCTCCTGCTGCTGTTGCTACTCCTACTCCTACTCCCTCCTCAGACTACTACTGCTTCATCTACTGACGGCCACGACGACTGCGATGAGGACGGCCCTTGGGACCTAAACCCCAAACACAATACTCCAAACACACCCCACAATCCCGATGCCATACTTTTGGAAACCTACGAATACATGCCGATCCAGCATTTCAATCGGCCCAACTCTTCATTGGACCCTGCCCGATGGCATGCCGAGCGGCAGAGGTATCCAAGGTCGCGCCCTCTGGTTGCCAGCACAGGAACACGACATGGATATTTTCGTTGAACCTTGCTGCAGCTGTTTCTACGTCGCGGTAGCCATACACTTGTCTTCTTCGAGCTGCAGATGTTTCGGACTTAGCGTTTATACCGTCGTCCCGGAAGACCTGAGCTTTTCTCTGGGTCGGCTTAATATGAGGGATTTCGACATTGGAGTGCTAATCGCTCCGGGTGCAGCAGAAGGAACCCTACACCCAAAATCCTAAACCCCCCAAATCCCCAAACGATAGACCCAGAGCTGTCGACATTTGTGGACAATGCAAACCCGAGACCAGGCTTGCCATAGGGACTACACGTCATAGGGTGTTATAAGTTCCTGGGTTTTGACCACGGGGAATTGGGGTGTGGCCTCCGGGGTGTGAGGCATTGGGGATGTAAGATCAATGGGTGCTGGTTTTTGGTTTCGGGAGCTTCGAAAGAGAATCCTGAAAATACCTGGTAGCGTCGTTTCGCACAACAGCACGGAAAACCTGAGCCCCAATGGAGTTTCATGAAAACTGAAGCCTGAACGAAACCTTCAAGCTCCAAACCCTCAAACCGTTTTCAACCTTAGAATAAGGTTTGGGCGTATATTCACGTAGTGTCGTGGAGGAACTATACATGGAATTATTGCGAAAATGCCGACCTCGATATCAGATCCCCACGCCCTCAAAAACCTAGCTCCAGGGTTCAGGATCCCCTAACCTGTCGAGGGTGCTAACTAGAAACAGCATTCCGTACAGGTCCTGATATCTACAAAGGCAACCCAGAACCAAACACGCTAGCGAAAGCCCCTGCATTCAACCCGAGATCTCGAGTTTCGGGACTGCGGCACAGATCCATTCTGGTCCTCCCCTGGGGCCACTGCTGGCGCGTGAGCGGCAACGAGTCGCCAAAGCCCACAATCTGGGAGCTTTTCTGGGTTGGGGGTGTTTACGGCTTGGGCTTTGGAGTGTGGGATTTAGGGTATTACGGTCATTTCGAGGAATGTCACCATCGAAATACGGCGGGGAAGACCCAACCTTTGAGCCACATGTCGGCGTCCTGAAGTATCCAACCCACACCCTGAACTCCCGGAAACTTACAAACATGAGTGGAGAAGCTTTGATGGTGATGACGGTTGTTTCTATTGGCGCGTTACGCTACGAGTACAAATGCTCGGGGCTGATGAAAAGGCCGTGATCACACGGATTAGCTTCCATGCTACCTGCATTGGCCGTCAATTGCTCAACGTATCCTCAGGTACCTCGAGCCCTTGGAATTCCGGGCTTCCAGCTACTTCTCTCGAGTCGGAGCCTTCCTACTCACCGTCCACCAAATGCCTCCAAACACCTCGCAACTGTGGGATTGACTGCAGAACCTGACATCGAATCAAGATGTAGGATGTAGGAAGCGTTCGGACCTCTCTTTTTGAGAATATCGCAGAACCTCAGCAAGTATGCCTCATAAAGACCCCTCATCGCGACTCTGAACCCCAAACCTACCAAACCCTAAACCCCAACCCCGAAACCTAATCCCTAGATGCACAAGTCAAAGTCCCCAACCCCAAAACACTAAACCACATAAGCCAGACCTCAAACCCTCAACCCCCCCACCCCTAGACCCAAAACCCTAAACCCTAAAACCCAAAGCCCATTCTAAACCCGTAAAGAGCCCCCGAAAGAGCACAAAAGCCACCGAGTCGCTGGTGTCAGTTCAATTCTCGCGAGCTCGGCCCTTGGCAGAGACAGTGTTGAAGCTCAAATCCAGTTTTCGTGTGTATATACATATATATGTACATATACATATGCTACATATCCATATATATATATATATGCATACATATACATCTACATCTATATCTATGTCTACACCTATATAGATGGATAGACGGATAGATAGATAGATAGATAGATAGATAGATAGATAGATGGAGGAGGCCATACTGATTGCAGTATGGTTTGGGGTTTAGGTTTGAAAGGTTTGAGGGTATTTTAAGACCCTGAATGATTGCGAGAAGGTTTGTTCTCAAGAGCTGTTTGTAGATTTCTACCCCGGGTTTATATGGAGGCCTTTATCAATACTACGATGTTTTGCGGTGTGCTAGTATTGTGAAGTAAAGCTGAATAAGGGCGACCACCGGCTATTCTGAAATTAGAATTACTAAACACTCACTAGATGCCTGAACATTTAAAGGGGGGGTTGTGCGAGCGCCATATTATTGTAGCTCTTTTCCCGGAAAAACCACACAGAAACTATCCACGTGGGTGCGAAAGCCCTAAACCTACATGATTCTCATAAGTGTCCCGGAGTTCTTAATGCTCCTTGTTCCCCAACCCGCGAGCCTATGCCCCTACAGCCCTGTATGCACAGCCGTAAAAGGCCTGATAGACACCACTGAAGCCCAACAATCGTGGTCGAAGAAGAGACCTTTCGGACTGAGGGGTTGTGCAAAAACCCTGTCAAACTTTCAGAACATTGCAAGTCAAAGCCCCCAGTACATGAGCCCTGTTAGTCGGATGGCATCGGAGCCACCAACGGAAACGTGGCTCTTGCCAAACTAGTGCCAAAACAAATCCCTGAACCCACAAATAGCCGTACCCAAGGCACCCAAGACCTTCTTCTCGATCCACCCGAGGGCAGAAGAGCAGGAAACGTTCCTTGAACAGCGGAAGTCAAGAAAGATCTAGAACGGAATAATCTAGAATCTAGAAACTTGGCATTTCGGTTGTAAGACTTTTGATGTTGAGAAAAAGCATGACGGCGTGCGTAAGTCTGCCACCAAGAATCCGCAATCGGCTAATGGCTTATGAGGAAGACTGTTGTGCTTGGTACAGAAAGGCGCATGCGGAGAGCCAAATTTGGTGTAAAACCTTTACAGAAAGGACTGCGTGGCGTGTAACGTGGCGTGTATAATGCAGTAGTTTTTCAAGATCCAGAATGATGATAACAGCCACAACAGTCCTCTCTCAATCTTTAAGGATCCGAACAAAAAGTATCTTAGTATTTGGGGTCTGGCTCTTATATGGCCCTCCACCTTGAACCCTGAACTCTCCTTAAGCTGTCAGCCAGGATTGGAGTAAAGTCGTTGTTGGGAGGCGCTGGCTGGGGCAGAGTCGTTGTTGGGAAGTGATGGCGCTATTTCGATGCGACCGCGAACCTGTCAGCAAGGATTGCAGTAAATTCGCTGTGAGGTGCTGGAAGCATTTTGATTAAAGCACCCAAATCAGTGAATTGGGGGGGGTGCTTGCACCATTTGGAAACAACCAAAACCTGTCGGCCAAGGTTGGCTTAAAGTCGTTGTTGAGAGTTGCGGGCGCCATGTTGAAGCAACCAAACCTGTCAGCCAAGATTGGGGTAAAATGGGTGTTAGGAGGCGCTGGCTCCATGTTGAAGCAACCAAAATCTATCGGCCAGGATTGGGGTAAAGTCGTCGTTGAAGCAAAATAAACCTGTCAGCCAGGATTGGGGTAAAGTCGTTGTTGGGAGGTGCTGGCACCATTTTGAACCAACCCAACCTGTCAGCCAGGATTGGGGGAAAGTCGTTGTTGGGTGGTGCTGTCGCAATTTTGAAGCAACCAAACTTGTCAGCCAGGATTGGAACAAAGTCGTTGTTGGGAGGTCCTTGCGCCGTTTGAAGCAAGCAAACCTGTCTCCCAGGATTGGGGTAAAGTCGTTCAGCTTTCTACAAATGGGAAGACCAGTTGAGGAGCGTTTGCCAACTTTTCAACCGCCTGGATTTCCAATGTCGTAAAAAAGCACGAAGAGTGGCTAGTAGAGGCCCTTAGACAACACATGCAACGGCAAACTTCCGTCCCGAACGCGTAAACCTCTGAACCCACAGGCTGACTTCTGAAGTCCGAACGCCTGGACGCAACTAACCTTACACCCTTAGACAAAAAAACCCAAGCTGCGAATTCCCTAGCCTTCAATTTTAGAGGCGGGATTTCGGTAGGGTTAAGGGTTTAGGTTGAAGCGTTTCGGGTTGTGCGGTTTCGAGTTTGGGGGCTTGGGTCTGGGGCTTCGGGGTTAGGGCCTCCATGAATGGACTAGTTCTCAGGGCTATTATCGCGCAAGTACACTAAGGAACTACTGATTCCGGCTTCTGTATGACTCGCAGCGGTTTTCAGGTCTTGAGGCTTTATTTAAAATGAAGATGCAGCCTCTTCAAACTGAGCCCTCAACTCCAAAACCTCAGGCCCCGCACGTCAAACCAGAGCCACTACTATAGAACCCTGAAAAGTGGGATCCCCTTTAATAAGTCTCTCTTCGTCAACAACAAGGCCCAAAAAAGTTCAAACTTTTTAGGATAGACTTAGTATATAAGGCCAAAAAGTTTAAAGTTCTCCATTGAGGACAAAGGTACCCCTACTCCAATCATTAGGAGGGCAGACGAGTCGCACCGAGGGTGCTCGTCGTGGAAAGCCCATCCTTGCCCTCAGCAACTTCGTGCTGTTGGCGCCTGCACGAATCGAGGGGTCGGCCTCGCCTCTTGGAAGGGTTTTCAGTACAGTAGGATTTTATAGGGCTTGAACTAAATGTCGATTTCGCAGCAGGTTCCACACAGATCTCAAATCCTGTGATTTAGGCTCGGGCACAGCACAATGAGAAGCTTTAGCAACTTTGGATGCTACCCTGAAGAACCCACGCCTGCTCAAATGGCTTGCGGCTTGCTGCCACTACGAAGACCAATCGTTATGTGGTTTAAGACTGTGCTGGATCCAGAGCTCCAGCTGAACACCCTAAACACGAAACCCCAAACCACAGGCTCCCTCATTTCAAAGCCACATGCAGCCGCACATAAGCCGCGAAACCCGAAACACCCTAGCCCGAAGCCGCAAGGCCCACAAACCAGAAACCCCAACGCTTTACACCCGAAAGCCTGAATCCGAAGCCCCAACCAAACTCCAAGCCTAAAGCCACCTCAAGCCTCAAGTCCTAAGCCGCAAAAGCCAAGCCCGAGCCAGCTCTCGTCAACCCTAAATCCGAAGGCGCAGTCAAACTCGAAAGCTAAAGCCCCACACCCTGAACCCGAATCGAGTAAACCTAACAGCTGCTTATGAAAAGGCCCAGACACTAAACCCGAAACCCTCAACCCAGAAACTGGGCACGCGGCCCAAGGTACGATTCGGCCATCTCGGTCGTAGTCTGAGCAGACGCTCAAACTTCAGGGTTTGGTGGTTTTAGGGGCTTGGGGTGTATGACTTTACCATTTTTAGGATTTTGAGGTTGTTGGATTTGGGGAAGCTAGGGCTTGAGGCATTGAGGCTTGGGTATCGGTATAGGATGTGGAGTGTAGGGCTTTAAGGTTTCAGGGCTTCGTTCCTGTTTGGACCATGCCCTCCCACTGGAGGCCCCAGGAAAAATCGTTAACCACGGTAAGAAGAAACAGATATACGCAGCCACTGATGAACTCTAGAAACAGTGGGGAGACGTCTACATGAAGGGAGGTGAACAAACAGGAATGCCAGGACATACTGCTGGGCGCGCAGCTTGGTTTTCTCAACTTAACTTTTCGGCGCTGCCACTGTCAGCTCATACACCGGCTTGCTCGGGCCATGCACCTGTCTTCAACTCAAGGTTTACGTGGCGTAAGTGTGCGGCTTATGTGGCTATTAGATGGCCGGGGGCAGAAGAGCAAAATGGACCCAACGAACATCAGGTGGGTTGGGCGGATTGGAGCAGCCGCACGTCCAGCCTAACCACAGCAGAAGCAATTACAGAACCTCTTGAGTGATACCAATACTAGCAACAAACCACAATTATGCAATAAAAGTATGCACAAGACTTGCAATGCTAAGGAGAACTCTACCCCACAACCCCTGCTGCTGGCCAGGGGGCCACATAACCGGCGAAGTCCCGGGCACCCTGGAGTTTTTAGTGAGAGCTTCATGGTTGAGAGGGTCAGCCAGCGGGTTGGAGGATTTTGCTTGGGGTTCGGGGTTCAGGGATTTTGGTGCTAAGGTTTGCGCTCTCGGGTTCAAGGCTCTCGGGTTCAGGGATTGGGGTTTCCTCATGTATCAGGATATATCAGGATATACATGGCTTATAAAGGCCTTAACAGGGTATAACTGCCTGCTTTGAGCTTTCGATAACAGCCTGCTCTGAACCCTGAAGCCACCTGCCCTAGAACCAGAGCCTCGAAGCCTGCTTCAAGAACCCTCGCTTCCCCGTAAAGGATAGAATTTCCAACGCCGAGAGTAACAGCCTATCCCGAAACCCGCCAGCCCCAAACTCTAGAACCTGCAGCACCTGCTGTAAACCTCAAGCCCCCAACTCTAAAGCCTGAGAACCTCCGGTAGATCCCGAAGACCGGCTTTCGATCCCAATTGATGCCAAACTCTTTTGCCCCGAAAGCCTCACTTACGAACACCTTCCCCTAAACACTAAACCATGAACACACAATAAAATCCTGCGCTCGCCTCTCCCAGGAGCAAAAATTGAACGCGACATGTGACCTCAATTTGAGAAAGTTGCAACAACAACAACAACAACAGCAGCAGCAGCAGCAGCAGCAACAAACAACAACAACAACAACAACAACAACAACAACAACAACAACAACAACAACAACAACCAACAACAACAACCAACAACAACAACAACAACAACAACAACAACCAACGACAACAACAACAACAACCAACAACAACAACAACAACAACAACAACAACAACAACCAACCAACCAACGACAACCACAACAACAACAACAACCAACAACAACAACAACAACAACAACAACAACAACAACAACAACAAAAAGGTTGACAATCAAACTAAGAGTAAGAAAGACCGTAGCAATAATAATTTGGGGCTTGAGGGTTTAGGAGTCTATGGGTTTGAGAGCTTCAGGATTTAGGGTTTACGGCGTCTCCGGGTTGGGGGTCGAAGGGCTTTGGGGTTGCGAGGGTGCGAGGTCTACAGGCTTGACGGTTTCAGGGTTGGTTTGGGGTTTAAGGGTTCAGGGTGTCTGATTGGAGCGGATAGATATTTATGTATGTATGTATGTATGTATGTATGTATGTATGTATGTATGTATGTGTGTATATATATATATATATACGTATAGATGGATAGATAGGTAGATAGATAGAGGGTAATAGATGGGGAGGGTTTTTAAGTTTAGGGGACTATGGTTTGGAGCCTGGCGGCTTCGGGTTCCGGGTTTAGGTCTTTCGAGTTGGGGCTTCAGGGCTCGGGTCTCTAGGAATCAGTCGGCAGGGCTGAAAGCTCTAGAAGAAGGCCAGGCGCTTTCTACGAAAAATACACGAGGCCTTTCAACGGCTAAAGCCCCACCCCTGGAAACCCTAAGCTTCCTAAAAACCTCAATCCGGGCTCCCGGAAACTTAGTCAATTGCTCGGTGCATTTACATCAAAACCTCGAGCTTGTACTTTCAAAAGCCAGGGCATCAACAACCCGGACCATGATCCTGTGCAACTGGAGTGCCTACGAGAGCTGTAGATTTGTTGTGCCCTTCTTGCCGATTCTCATCCACTACTAGGCAGTCGCAGTTCTAAAGGATCGCCTTTGCGTCTTCTTCATCGCCGTACAGTTCTCCACGCCAAACTTTGCGAGAAGATTCGAGGCTAGTTTCAAGCACAGATCAATAAACATGGACCGCCGATAGAAATCCCAAACGGTCCGATCCTTGTTGCAAGGACCTCCAAAGAGAGACCACGCCCAAGTACCCCAACACCCCAGACCGTAAACCGTAAAATGTAGGGGCCTTAATAACTAGAATGCGGTTTTGGGGTATATTATACTATTACCATACCAAGAAACCTGCAATAAAAAAGGTAGGTATTCATTAAGGCGCCTATATTAGGGCTTAGGACCTCAGCCCGATTGATGATGCAGCCACGGAGCAGGAGCGTTTGTTTCAGGAATCTCGGTCAGCTTCCGCTGGAGCCTCAGTCTGGTTACTGGGCTTGGGCTTCAGGGTCCTTCATGAGTAGCACAGGGTTTTGGGTTGTCTTTGTCTACAGTTCTATGCGGACTATAACAAGAGAATCTTTCACTTGCTCTTCCGACCCCTATATTCCTGCTGTTCGGAGTTTGGAAGCTGACACCCGAAGCCCGAAGCCCAAGAGAGCCTCTATCCCGAACCCGACATTAAAACAACTTGGGGTGGTGTCGTAGGGTTTGAATGAAATCTCTCAGCCTAAAGAAAGACATGGCTTCAAGCCTCAGAGTGCGTGCTTGAGGAAGACTTGCTTCATGCATAGCAACCTCTGTGAAACTACGACGACTCCTATCAGAAGTTGAGTGGTAGGAACAGGCGGGGGGCCGGCGATGTTACAGCTTTCACTCAACTTCTTGCTTTGGCTTCATGTAGTCGGGCACCAGCATTCCATCGTGGAAACTCTGCTGCGGGAGGTGGCCCCTTCTTAACCATGCGAGGAAGGACGGAGTCGCAACGATAGTTCTTGGAGTCGCTGCAGATGAACTTGTCAGATTTGGCAACCGGTATGCACAAACTGCTTTTTGGTTCCTAGGGTGGGCAAGACCTGTCCATATCGAGCAGCCGCGCGTACCAGGCCCAAACCCCCAATCAGAGATCCTTTAGCCCCTGTGAGTGCCTTTTGAGCTCTGACCCGATCTTTCCAAACAAGTTCGGCATGTCGCAGCCAAGGCACCCTTTGCTGGAGGCCGAGCGGCTTGGTAAAGTCTCCGCTTCCGAGCTGGCCAGCGTGTAGCGGTGCGGGTTTAGGAGTTAAGGCTTTGCATGTCTTCGTTTCAAGGTTCAGCAGTGTACGGTTGAGGGCTTAAGTGCTTTCAAGGGTTTAGAGCGTAGGAGTTTGGGCTTCAGGGTGACCCCTTGAAGCGGGAGGTTTGAAGTTGAAGTCGGGCTTGGGTTTCGGTTGGTGTTTGGGGTCGAAGAGTCCCTGCTCGCACAGGGTGTTCATGGGTGTTCTACTGCTTTTTATACGTCATGCTTTGTAGGGTTCTACGTGCTTGCTGGAAAGGGTGTTCTGCAACTCGCTGTTGTCATTTATTCCGCATCACTGCGAAACGAAAACAGCTTGAAGGCACTACTTGCTCAGAACAGCTCCAATACCCAATTCCAGCAGGAACCAATTACACCATGGCGCAACATACGAATGTGCGTACGGCAACGAAGACCACGGAAGTGACGAGGAAAACACGAATACGTGTATGCTACGGGGGCATTGCCATCCCAAAATCAGTAGAGTCTGTCAATGCATTACAGGAGGGCCTTCAAAAGCGAATGCCACGAAAACCTTTTCGGCATGCAACCTGGAAGACTGAACTCCATCTCTCGATCCCGGAGCCCTACCTGCGTTAGGATAAATGTTTCAGTCCCATGGTTGCTAGTTCAAGAACAACGAGGCCTCACCATCATACAGATCTTTACAGTTGGGGCATCTCCAGGCTCCCGAAACCAAGTTCAGACAAAAGACTAGCTGAGCTTCACAATCTGCACCCTCTGTACCCGAAACCACAGCAGGATACTCCGAGCATTCACCAAACATGTACTTGAAAACCCCCTATTAGACCCACAGCTCCGCCCGAGCCTCTTTCCGGCCTGGGCAGGTTGAAGTCTCTGGGACTAAGAAAAACTTCGGTTCTACGGCGGGTTTTTCCATTTTACCGCCGTAAATGGTGGTGAATGGTTTCACGGCTTCATTGAAACTGTGCTCCTTGATTAACCTTGGACACTGGTGTAGTTCCAACTATCCTTGCGACGTAGTGGCACCGGAAGCAGCACCAGCACGCAGCATGCCGCAACCGTAGCAGTCCAGAGTGTTAGTAGGAGTTGTAGTCGTCGTCGTTCTCCTCGTCCTCCTCCTCCTCCTCCCCCTCCTCCTCCTCCTCCTCCTCCTTCTCGTCTTTGTCGTCGTAGTCGTGGTGTTTGTTGTCGATATCGTGGTGGTGACGGTGGTGACGGTGGTGATGGTGATGTGTATCTGTCCCGATAATTCTGACAGACAAGCCTTATGTTGAACAAGCCCATGCTGGAGAGCGGCTGCTACGCGAAAAAGCAGTATCAGGATTGCACAGGCTGACTGGAGACTGGCGACCAAACCCCAGTCCCGATGTTCAACAGCTTAGGCTGCAGGCTTGCAGTTTAAAGGTTTAGGGAGCCATGGATATTCGTAAGGAAGACTAAGCACAAAAATCCTTTCAGCTACAAGTTGACAGTTCATTGAACCTCAAACGCATTAACGCCAGGACCCAAACTAACCTGAAAGTTGAAAATAGAAATGCTGGGCAATGCTCGAAGTCCCCGATGAAGGCCTACATGACACTCAGTACTCATGTTGAGAAGCCCTCTATGTTCATGACAAGTGCAAACCACTGAAGGAACACGATACACCCCATTCTCCGCTGCAGCCAGAGGCGCCATTGCTGAAGCTGGGCAGATGCAGGCGAAATGGCAAATGCGGGCTTAATACCGAATCTCCACCCTAGCACTCATCTCGGGATGGCGGAGATTACGGCCATGATCTCGGCTTAAATGGTCTGTCTGGGTGGGGGGTGGCTTACTAGAACACATCTCGGCTGACATGCGGGTATACATCCCGTGCAATAAGCCAGCATCGGACCTTCAACGCAGAGGCCCTTAACCACAGAGACCCTGGAGACCCTTGAACTTAAACCCCAGTCAAAAGACATGACGGAAAGCACGGACTATGCCGCCTACACCAGCCTTGGTCCAAAGATGCAGCAGAGAAGCACTTTATGAGACCCAATCTCCGAAACTCGATTGAAGCAAATCCTACTGCCCAAAATCTGGCTTGGAGCCCAGAAACCCCTAAACGGTGAACCCGAAGCTAAACCACAAATCCCAAAAGCTCTAGGGCCATGATAAGAAGTGCTTGAGATTTCGGGTGTAGCTTTCACATGGGTTCGTTAACTGTTGTATATGGCTGTACAAAAGGTCATCAGTGTCTGTATGTATGAGGCAGGCTTGGGATATGCAGACCCATATATGAGAGCTTGGGAGTCCGGTTCGGGGTTTGGGGTTCGGGTTTGGGGTTTAGGGGTTCAGGGGTTTGGGGGTTCAGGCGTTCAGGGTTTCGGGCTTTGGGGTTTTGGGGTTCTCCACTCTCCAAATCAACACTCGAAATACGACAGCCTAGGCACTCACGCCGGGCGCTGACTCTGATGTCCTGAACCACAAGACTGTAAGAACGCGATCGAAACACCGACAAGGTCCTCACCGAGTTGGTTTGAAGGCAGTTTGCACCATATAGCCCAACAGCGCGACTTGCAATCCCTCCGTCCCGTGACTCCTGACTTCAACCTTTGAACCCTACACTCTAAACCCCAGACCCAAACCCCCCTGGACCCCAACAGCCCCTAAATCGCGGCACCTCTTCCTGATCCCGGATCTCGTCCGGCGAGCCGTCGAAGAAGAATTCCAGATAAATCGTGGCCTGGTACGTGGCGTAGTACTAGCAGTCCTGTCTTGACCTTTTAACAAAAAACCCGACTAGTTCGCTACAACCATCACCACACAGCATCTTGAAGTTCAGCATTCAGCGTCGAAGCCGCAAAACATCAACCAAGCACAAGACACACAGTCGTTATAGCAATGGCAGCAGCACTAGCAAGACTCAGGGCAGCACACGACGCAGTCATTGTGGGTGTCATCACCACACACGAAACATCAGAACACACTCTTGTAGGGCGGAACCCAAAACCCTCATCCCAGCTGCACCTGGCCGGACTTTCCCGGAGCATGGTGCAACTGCCACAACCTCGCACAGCGAGAGTTGCAACTGGAATCGGTTGTGGCTGCTGAGCCCTAAACCCAAACCCCTAACCCTAAACCCTACCAGTACCTCCTACACCAAACTCTGCTTGTCCTTGAAGAAAATGCGGCTTTGGGTGTGCGGCTTGGGGGAATGGGAGTTCAGGATTGGGGGGCACAACATGCTGACGCTTTAGGTTGAGAGTTTTGGGTTTGGCGGGTTTGGTGCAGGGAACCGGGTTCCTCGGAGTAGTGCTCCCTCTACGGATACGACTACTCGGGGTACTTCTTAGCATTGCTGCTCTTGTGAATGCCACCTCCACGACGAAGAGGACGATAACGGCGTAAGACAACCACGACCGCGCGCTTCTTGCTGATACTGTTGCTGCTTCTTGGCATGCTCATGGCGCCTCTTGTCATCACGGTCGCTGCTTCGCTAGCTTTCGCTACGAGGAGTCTGCCTTGGTGGGAACCCTTTCAACCCTAAGCCCGCGTAATTATTTTACTCTGGACATCCCCGCCCTGCAGATAATGCAGTTGGGGGCCACACCACTGGCTGGCGTTGCGGTCGTGGGGTCCCCAGTCACGTAACAAAACACAGGTGTTGATTCAGGTCATTCGACGACCCATGGGGTCACACCACCGACTGGCGATACGGACGTGGAGTGCCCATACACATAACAAAACACGTGTTCGATTCAGGTCGGTGGACGATCCATGGGTCACACCAGTGACCGGCGTTACGGACGTGGGGTCCCCGTACACGTAGCAAAACACGAGTGTTCGATTCATGTCATTCGACGATCCATGGGGTCGCACCACTGACCGATGTTACGGTCGTGGGGTCCCCGTACACGTAACAACACCCGACTGTTCGATTCAGATCAGTCGACGATCCATGGGGGCACACCACTGACCGGCGTTAAGGTCCTGGTCTTCTAGTCTCACGGTAGTCTTTGGAGTTGGGCACTCCAAGGAGTCTCACGGTAGTCTGTGGGGTTGGGCACTTCAGGGAGTCTCACGGTCGTCTTTGGGGTTGGGCACTCCAGGGAGTCTCAAGGTAGTCTCTCGGGGTGGGCACTCCGGGCAGTCTCTGGAGGTAGTCTCTGTGGGCGAGGAGCGCAGGAGGAGAGGGCGGGAGTAATAGCTGACTTTAACATCTAACAACCCCACACCGAGGGTGGGGAACAATAGGTATAATAACAATAATGATACCAATAATACTAATGATAAAAATAACATTACCAATAAAATTAACGATAATGAGAATATTATTAATGAGGCCCCTGAAACCCGAAACATGCTGCAGGGCTCTGGCCGAACGTCCGCCAAGTCGAAGGTCTTCTCCAGGCACTGGATGCGGAACTGGGCCTTCGCCTCCGTCGGACGGTCTTAAGGTTCCTAAGGCTTCCATGAGGTTTCTGAAAGGTTGTTCTGGGGCGGGGCGGGGGGGTCTTTAATGGAGTTTCAGAAGGCTTTGAGGTGGGGGTAGGATAAGCCAACAAGCTTAAGAGTCCCTACGCCCTACATTTACAGGCTTTCACCCGCATCATCCAGAAACCCTATGCTACTTATTCAAACCCCCCATATTTAAGGCCAGTGCTTCAGCGCACTTCAGGCTTTGGGCTGCAGGGCCTGGCGGCGACCGAACTACTTCATCCAATACCCTACACGACTGCAACCCTAAAAAAAAACTAAACTAAAATCCTGAAGCCTAAACCCGAAATGAACCCTAGTCCTACAGCCCTAGATAGCCCTAAGCCCTAAGCACGAAAATCCTGCAGCTCTCAGAGTCCTGAGCAGACTTTCCACTGAAGGCTTAACCTGAGTTCAGTAGGCGTAATGCAGGGGCGAGGGGCGAGAACAACTGACAAGATTTGTGGTTGTTTTCCAGGAGGGAGGGGGCAATACGTCGGGGAACCTTAAGCTTGCCCGTTTTCGAGGGGGTGCTTTGTGTTGGGGCGTACTATTACGAAGTGGCTTGAAGCCCTTGGCCCTAAGCCCTACACCCCCTAAACTCGAAGCCTAGACCCTAAACTCTAGGTCTGCGTCCACATCCAGCCTCGACCCAAAGACCGACAGATTCATGGACCCTCTCAGAATGATGGCATTTCGGGTAGCCAAGAAGCTCTGAACCCTCCAGCTGGCCGAAGTCCAATTTCGGGTTTCGAGTTAAAGGGTTTGGGCTCAAGATTCGGGCTTTAAGGTTTCAGGCTTGGGGATACCACCTCGTCGGAGATGGGACAGCCACAGGATGCACGCCACTGTGCAAGGACGCGATCCTGCACAAGAGATTCACATAGCGTCGGGGCAGTTGATGCCCAAATCTGAAGCCCCTGAAATCATTAAGTCACCTTAAACGTGGTCCTCTGTGCTCAGCTTCGACAGCGCCTTGGCATCCAATGCCTCACACCGACGAAAGCTCCAAACGTTGCGAGTAAGGAGTTTATACTGCGTGACGTTGTGAAGTGGCGGGATTTGGATTTCAGAGTTTACGCAGCTTGCGATGTAAGCCTAGAGATTGGAGGCATTTCGGTGGGTTTAGGTGAGTATGGGTTCAAAGCAACAGAAAACCCCCCACCAGGTGCTGAAGGATTGCGGCTGGCTCGGGACTGAGGGTGGCTTGCACCTTAGAGCCTCGCCTCAGGCTGCTGGAAGTTGGAACATCCTGAATGCCAGCGCGAAATTGCACGGATACATGCTCCAGAGTCTTTGACCTTGCTGTCAAGGCGTCAGAGCTTGGAGGCATAGATCCCTGAAATCCCTGGTTTTGGAACTCGCTCTGGTTCACCCTAATCAAACTCTAAGCCCGCGTCACAGACCCTTAGGACAAGCGTGGTAAAACCCTACATCCTCACAGCCCTAAACCCTAACAAGCCTGGATCCTCGATAAGACTGCCGCATACCAAGCTGCTCCATAGAAGTGAATATGCCAGAGACGGTAAGATTGACTGACCCAACTCATCCTTACCGGGGAACTTTTACTAAAAGCTCCCTGATCCTGATCTCCGGAAAGGGCCTTCCTGGCAGTGTGGGGGTTTCGCGTCGAGGTGCCTGGGTCCCGCACCCATGGTTTCATGGGGCTGCTGTAGGGCAGGGAGGTTTACAGGACTTATCTTGGCTTTGTGCGGCTTCTGCGTGGCCGTAGAGGATGAACGCCAGGATCCTTACTTCAAGGTCCTACTAGAATGACCCCCGACCCCTAGCGAGAACCCTAATTGTCAGAATCTGATCGCTGAGAACTTCCGTCTTTATGTATTTAGAGCTCTCGGGTGCGACCTCTGAATGTGTGAATGACTGCAGGGCTGAGGAACTAGCTCACAGGCATTGGCTCATCTTGCGATCTGATCTCCAACGGCTAAACCTCCAAACTAACAAAAATAATGACATGCCAGAAAAGGGCGAAACCTGCACACTCTAAAACCTAACAACCAAAGTGTTGAACCTCCATGCTGCACAAGTCTGAACTAAGCCTACATTTCCGTCCAAACGACATACTTCACTAAGGAGAACCTCGAGGCGTACCACTGATTATACAATCCCCACAACTTGCTATTGGGGCTCAGGGCTACTACAAGGATGATAAGCGCAACAGAAATACCCGCACCCATGGCAAGAAGCAGAATGGGAACACTAAATCAACAACCATCCCATTCTGCCACCCACATCCCTGCTAGGGCCGAAAGCGCTGAGAGTTTAGGGTTTCCTGGGACCATGCAATGCTACATGTTGATAGAAGCCCTAGAGTCGTGATAATAAGAATAATGACCATAAATAACAACAATAACAACAGTAAGAAAACTAACAATAACAGTAATCACAATAATGATGAGAAGAAGAAGAAGAATAGCCGTTTAATCGTTGTTGGAGCCCTCAACGCCCCATGGAAAACCCGATGCCACGAGGAAGCCTGCAGCCTTCCAGTGATCTGTGTCGCCGGCTTTGTCTTCCGCCGTAGGCGCCCTTTCGGTCCTCTCCTCGCAGAAGCGGATCTGGGGTGTCAATGTTCAGGAAGAAGTACTTTGCATAGGGACTTTACAGACAAACAGAATAGGGTTTTGGGGTATCTTATCGGACAGTTATGTTAAGGAACCATGGAAAATACTGTTGGCAATTATTCGGGCCTCTGTATTATGGTTTCTGGTAAGACTGCGGAGCTCAAGAGCAGCAGCAGCCACCTCGCCAGTGACAGACAAGTACATGCAATAAGCCGACATACACTTCCTCAAAATAAGTGCAACAAGCGAAGAATAGGAACGAAAGCGAAACAAATCAAAATCCGTAACAAGACTGCGAGTATCATCAGAACGGCAACGAAGGCAATACTCCGAGCACAAGACAACACAAGAACGGCTGCCCAAGAATGCCTCGTATAACCGTAAACCCTAAACCCTGAAGCTCGCACCCTAAATGAACTCGCCAGGCTCCTTCTGCCGCCATGGCTGCAACGCGCGCCGTGGCGTCCAAAAATCAACAGCTGAGCCAAGCAACGTATTCAGCCGCAATGCTCGGAGCTTTAGGGGCTGACAGTAGGGCTTGAGGGGCGGGGGCGGGAGGGGGATACAAGCTTCGGGAGTTCAACATAGAGCCTGAGGTTGCGGGATACAGTGGGAGGCATGAGGCTTGCGGCAACATGATCTAGCAGTAGCAATTCTCGGAGACAGAAGCATAGCCGTGACGAGATGAACAAGACGAGAACGTGAAAGTGCAATATCAGCCGTCATGGAAAGTATAGTACGGCGGCAAGCACCGGAACAGCGGGAAGACAGCATGGCTTTGCAATACCTGCTCTTGTCGACGAGGCAACCATTATTCCCTGAAGCTCTAAACCCTAAACCGTAGAACCCCAATACTCGACACTGAAAGTCAAAAGCCTGAAACCTTAAACTAATATCCTGAAACCCAGAGCTGCTCGGGTCGCAAGACTTACAAGCATGAACATGCAGCACTCTTCGAACCAGTAGATACTGAGGACCCTATCGCATGGCAGATGAGGGGACATGTCAGCTGTTTTAGACTTCAGGTCATAGGGCAATCCGTCGATCATCCCTGAAGCATCAGAACAGGTTCGCGGAATGTGTCGTAGAATCGCTGTACTTGTCCCGCAGCTGCAAGAAACCAAACTGTTACTGATATTCTAAGAAACGCTGGGACCGAAGTACCGGGCTCCCCTCATTTTCCACCCGATAAGATGAATTAGAGCCGGTGGTCTTGAATTCCAGGACACATCAGCCCTGAAAGCTTTGACCATTAATGCTCTCAGATCCTCAGATATTTTAGGGCCTAAGGTCCACCTTAAACCCGACACGAATCCTGCACAAAGGAAGTGACACCTCCAAGCTTCACGGGGTTTTCAAGTCTGGGTATGGGGCTGAATCATTACGCCTCTGTCAAAAGTCCGAAGTCCGGAGAACACTGCAAAGACCAAACATGCCAGATCAGCCTCCGGTGAGGCCTGCTCAAGCAGAGGGCACCCTAAACCCTTTCAGGATCGGCCTCGTTTCATGGTGCTGTTTCGATATCGTTGCCAAAGTTTAAAACAACAGTGTAGGGATGCCTGATGGTTGCTCCTAAAGACCCTAACCCAGACCCAGCCTCCAAAAAGCCCGTACCCGTACTGGAACTGACGCCTTGTCAGTCAGCCCGAACACCTACAAAGCCCGAAGAACCCCCAAACCTTCACGAGAAAAGATTACGGAGTCGAGATGCAGGTTCTGGGTTTACGGATGTAAACGTGCAGGGCTTAAGAGTGCTTCAAATCAGCATTCCTTGTGCAGCACCCTGCTTGTGCAAATTACATCGCCTCCATATCGCGCTGATCTAAGGCTGAACGCGGTGAAAACTTCATCCCTGAACACTGAAATACTAGCGGCATCAGTTACAATACTGGGCGGCCCATGGAACTATTAATTAATGAGAGTGTATACATGGAACTACTGACATCAGCAAAAACTGAAAGAACATAGACTGACATAGACCATACCTGTTCTAATCTTTCAAGAAAATGCAAGGAGAGATACCCATATTGAGAGGAAGTACAATAAGCCAGTACACAGGGACAAATCTCATAGCAGATAACCAACAGCCCGAAGCAGAAGCAATCACCATGGTATTGACAGAAGTGTCGCACTAGCAGCAATGACAACCCACAGTCAAAATAACTGTTTTGGCAGCTTCGTAGCAGGATCTTGAACCGAGAGGATTGTAGTGACAGTCATAAACGCAATCGATACCTAACAATATTGTACCAGCTATAGCACTGGAGAATTTCAGGTTCATGCTACTCGGGTCACCCTCCAAAGCCGACTCCAGAATTTAAAGGTTCAGAGCTGGCCTCTTCTTTGGACGAGCCTTGGCCGGCGTCGGGGCGCTGGATGTCCAACATCTCCTGAATTGCTGGTCGTTTTGCTGTTGGCTCTTCCTGCTTATGGCCTAGGAGCTAGGCTTTCGGGCTTGCGGGCCTGTGAAGTTGTTGCACAGAACCTCAGCACATTACACACCCCACTGCGCTTGGAAATGGTTGAAGGCTCTGGCATGTTGGTTGAGCTGTCGACTCTAGACGACCGGACCCCTCTGGTTGGACGTCTTAAGCTGGCGTTTGATTGCCAGCGTATTAGTCTCGAACGTAATATTGCTATCAATCCGCGTACTCACGAGTAGTAGCAGTCGCCGTGGTAGAGGTAGTGGTAGTGGTAGACCCTAAATCCTAAACCCTAAACCCTGAACCACAAACCCTAAACCCTCAAGAAAGAAATTGCTGTTGGCTGGAAACCGTTTTTGTCGGTCGGGACACAACCTTTCCATTTTCTAATAAACCGCACAGCCCCAGCCCTCCAGCCCGGCCCAGCCTAGCCCCCAGCCCAGCCCAGCGCAGCCAGCCCAGCCCGGCCAACCTAGCCCAGCCCGAGCCCAGCCCTGCCCCCACCCACCAACGCCAGACGGACCCAGCCCAGCCCAGCCCGAAATCAGGTTTCTGTTAGGGTTCTTTCGATCAACATGTTCAACCACCCAGCCCAGCCCGGCCAACCCAGCCAAAAAAATAGGGACAGTCCTTATGTTTTCGAGCATGATTTGGGTGTAGGGTTTCGGGTTTTATCAACATCGCGAAAGAAACGGCCATAATTTCGTTAAACAGAGACGCGCGACCTGGTAGAAACGCGGACAGCTCGTTGATCGCATGCGGTTTAAGGTTTCAAGGTTTAGGTTTTAGGGTTTCGGGTTTACAGGGCTTTAGGGTGCATAGTGCTTTGGGATTACAGGGTTCAGGGTTCGTAGGGTTTAGCGTTCACACAGGGTTTGGCTACACAGGTAGTGGGTGCGTGTGTGTGTATATATATATATATATGTATATGTATATATAGTCATATGGTGCTTGGAGATTGCGGGGCCATAGGGTTCGTGTTCGGAGAGGGCACCTGTCCCAGTCCGTGAAAATCGAATAATAGTGTCTAATGATTGCAGCGTTTAGGTTTCGTAGAGGCTGTGTTCACTTTGGGTGTACAGGTTCAGGGCGTATGTGTACAATATATAGTATAATGCTTAGGGGCTGCAAGCAAGGCGGCTCCTAGGGTTTGGTGTTCGCACAGGGTATGGGTTCACAGGCAGTGGGCCCGCGTAAAGTGGGTCTATGATTCTGGCTTTCGGTGCAGGGCTATGGTTTTCTGTAAGGACAGGGGATCATTCGACATGCATGTGTATGTAAACAAGTGTAGATTATATCAAGGACACAGCCACGGAAACAACAAATCTAGATGTGCCTCAGGGGCGCAGGTTTCAGGGGGTTCGCTTTCGGGGGTTTCGAGGCTTCTTAGTTCGAGGACACAGCCTAGACCCCAAGACCCTGGCCAAGATATCCATCGTCTATTGTTGTCGAGCACACTGACCACATGCATGGGGACCATGTCTTGTACTTGTAAGCATGCAACATGCACTGAAGCTGCATGCTCCCTACATATATGTTCTGTCTGCGAGCACACTGCCTGCATGCATCTAACAAGCAGCATCCAGAGAAGCTTTACGTTCCTGTCACACTGCTTGAGCTCTCTCCTGTTCGGATGTAGAGATTGCACTCAACCCCATTACATTTTGTCTATCCTATAGGTCCTATACCCATTTCCGAAACTCCTGAAATGAGGCCCTGAATCACGAGAACCAAGCCCGGAGTCGGCCTGGGAGTCGTCCTGCGCTGCCTGTGAAGATTGAACCCACATAGGGTCTTGACCCATATGAAAAAAAGAGTTTAGGGTCGTGCTAAGGGTGTAGGCTTTCGGGTTTGAGGCTTAGGGTTCGGGGTTTGTGGTTCAGAGTTTGCCTAGGTTTTTGGGCTACGTGGAAGGCTCACTTCCGATCGCACGACATCCAGAAATCGAAAGCTTCCTTCAAGGATGCTGGATTTCAGGGAGCTGGGTTAGGGTTGCCGTAGTCTCAGGATGGCGCGAAGGCACACATCAGAGGGTTCTGGATTCTAGACTGCACCAACCTGCATTGCCGATCTAAACATGCATTCGCGAGGGAATGTACCGCTGAAGCGTTTGAAGAACCGGCAAAACAACAATGCAGCTCTTCAAACTTTCTCCATGCATGTAAAGCCAAAACAAGACGCCGCTTGCACCAAAAAGGTGCTGATCCATCCACCCTCGGGCATGCCTCTTGTGCTCGGCCCTGCGTCTCCTGCAGCCAGTCCAGCATTCGAGAGGATTTGGACGTTAGGATTTTGGGTCAAAGCTGTAGGACTAAGGGTAAGTTTCGAAGGTTGAAGCGTTCTGGTTTTCAAGGGTGGTACATGAGGCTTAAGTTGACAGGGTGTGGGATTATCAAGCTTCTTTGCGTCTGAAAATTGGGCAAGAAGGTTTAAGGTTTACTGAAACCAAATGTTCAAGAAGACTTGCAATCAGCAACATTGTAGACGCTCAACCAATCCGTTCGACCCAATTTCACATCCTCTGACACTCAACGTAAGCCTCTGCATCAGCAAAGGTACAAGCAAAGACCCCAGGCTGCAAAGTCCCAAGTTGTCCAGCCCTACCTGCCTCAGCGCTGATCACGCTGATGACCTGGAAGCTTATTGGAAAAGCAGACTCTACTGAATATGATTTTTCACAGAATCTGATGCTTAGGAAGCTGCCCTGGGATTTTAGGTCTAGTGTCAAACTCAAAAAACGTCTGAGCAAGAACGGCAAGCGTGAAAAAAACAAACAAAACGCTTCACATCCTTTCTTTCAACGCAAGCGTGTCGGAGGAAATCCTAAATCGTGAATAGGCGGTTCCCATCTCGAGTTTTGGATCACATTCTTGCTTGACGCAGGAACAACTAGGACAAGAGTTGCTTCTCACAGACAAACGCTGAGTCCGAACCCGGACAAGCCACACCTGACAGCCTCAGGCTCCGTGAACGCATCCCCCAACTTCAATCAAGAACCAACGGCACTGTACCTGAAGTCCATGAGCACTTAAGCTCTCAACCCCGAACGCTAATACTCCCAAGCCCTCAATGTCAAAAGCACCCTAAACCCCTCACCCTTACAGCCCTGAAGCCCCTGAAACCCCCGAAGCCCAAAGCAAGCGAGTCGAACCTCCTCCGACGGAGAGCTCTCTACGAGGGCTGCGCCAAGGACCTCATAAAAAATCGTCCACCGGGGGTTAGCAACAGCGAGCGTTCAGGGTTTAGGGTTTATAAGGTTCTACCTACATTTGGAGGCCTCTGGGTTTTCTGAAGCTCCTACATGGCTTCTGGAACATTCACGAGGCTTCATCTGGCTGCAGGAGTCCTCTGACTCACCTCATCATAGGGACTTCAGGTCGGTTGAAAAGGCTGAATGTTCTCCGCTACCGCCGTGGTCTCTGAGTTGGTACTCGTTCCGCGTCAGCACGGGGCTCGCCCGTCAATGAACGCAAAGGTCCAACCCATGAACCAGAAATTGCAGAACTGCAAACTCCTGGTGCGTCACCAACCTTCAAACAAGACTAGGACCATCCAAATCCTAGGCAAAGCCGTGATAACAGAAAGAACTGTAGGACCTGCTCACAATCCTGTAAGCGGCACAAACTCTGTGATGATCATTAATTGCTACTTTCGTTCTTTCTTGAATCTCAAACCCCCCAAACCTGAGAAACCTGAGCCCCAACCCTGCACGTACCCTACGTAAGACTCAAACCAAACCTTGATGTACCCCGAAGGCTTACATGTAGCCAGACACAACCTACTTTATTTACAGATACGGAAGCCCTAGCAAGAAACCCTAAAAAGGTACGGTTTAGCCCAAACTGCACAAACCGCAAACCCCTAAACCCCAAAACCCTTAACCTGAATCCCTAAACCTTTAAACTAAACCCTAAACCCTGAACCCTGCCACTCTACACCCTAAACCCTCGCGCCCGGGCTCCCGGGCGAAGTTCCCAAGGAGCTCCTCAGCACCTCCCACGGTGCCCAAGTAGCTAGCCAAGGCCTGGGCTCCGGGGTTTGGGTTTAGGGCTTCGGGTTTAAGGCTTTGGGTTTATAGAAATTGCTAAGGGTTGGGGCGCGGTGTTTCTGACCGAACGTTTTGACGGAAAGTGTTTCTTTCGGAACCTGCTTTCGAGTTTGGGGCCCGTGGTGGGGCTGGGGGGGCTGGGGCTGGGGCTCCAGATATGAGGACTAATATAGGGGCCTTAAAAATTAGAATAGGGTTTGTAGGTATGTTATACTATACTCATAATAAAGAACCCTCACGACAGTATTCGCAATTATTTAGGCCCCTACATCAGGAATGAAGAGGGTCTCGAAGTTCCCAAGAGTTGTCCAGCAGAGCAAGGCCTTGGGTCCTGAAGCTAGCTTTTGCTATCTTAACGGCTGAGTCTGGGCTGTACGAGTATGAGTGGGAGAGGCTTCAATCCCAAACCCCAAAGCTGCACACCAAAAAAAAAACAGACCCAAAGACAAAGCAGGCAGAAGAGTTGCGGATAGAACCACGGCCGCCTCCATTTCTAAACCCTGCCGTGGCTGGGAACTATATTTAAGGTCGACCGGACCCCGAAACCCAAAACCCTTTGACCGTAATCCCTAAACCGCGCCATCGTCAGCTCCTAAAGCCCTAAGCAACAACAGGTTCCCCTTGAAAATTAAACCTCTGCGCGCGCCTCCGGAGCCTGCTTTGCGAGCTCAACTGCCTGGAAGATCTCACCTTCCCCACAGCTCCAACCATTCTGGTGGTCTCCGGTGTAGGGCTTCAGGGTGCAGGGTTTCGGCATTAGGGCTTCGGGATTTGGGGTCTTGCCTTTAGGGGTGAAGGTTTGGGCCTGAGGGTTTGGGATGTGGGAAGCTTAAGGTCGAGCTGCATGTGCCAAGCCACAAAGCAATAGAGCTACGGTGATGGGTTTAAGGTTTAGGTTTAAGGTTCGTTCCTAGCGCTATACTTACCATACTTTGGTCTGACTGTTTGCCGGGCTAGACCGCAGTCCTGCTCCCTGTTCAACCTCTGAACCCAGAACTACTGGACCTAGATCGTCACAATCCAGAAATCCTATCTGGATTGAAAACAGAAACATGGAGAACCCATGTTGGACAAAGGTAGGCAGACAACTACGTCGATAAGAGACTGCTTACGAAAGCCAACCAGCCTCGGAGCTAAACCTGACATCCTGGACCCGAAGAGCGCAATCAAGAACCATGGAGCCACTGGCGAGCTGAAGTGGCAAAGTTCTGAAATATACCAACTCGACGAACACCACAATCCAACACCACCACGAGGGGAGGAGGACGACGACACCGCGACGACTTCTGTCGTTGCTCAGCTTTGACTGCGGTGTGTTTGCCGGCCTGGCGTGGATAACTCCAGGGGTTCTCCATCCAGCTCGGCATCGTCCATCGGAAATCCATCCGCGAGGTCCTCGCGGCTTCGTACAGATGATACAGCGCAGGGGTCTCTTACAACTAGCTGCTTCTTATGCAAGGATTCCCCTGACACGGATCCTGGGCGGATCCTGGTATTTAGGGGCCATGTCAGGTCCCCTATCATACGGTTGACGGGTGGTGGTTACGGGTATGGCGTTTTCGGGGCTGTCGCACTTACGGGCGGGGACTGTAAGGGTTTCAGATATTGAAATGGACGGTTTAGCGCCTATGGCTTGGAACAAGACAGCTTGCGGGATACTGCTAGCACCAACACCAACACCACCACAACCACCACCACCACCACCACCACCAACAACAACAACAACCACCACCACCACACCTGACTACCAACTACCAGCATCACAAGAAACAAAAGAGAAGCGGTAGCAGTAGGTTTAATTCTAGCCATATATAAGTAAACAAAACACTCTCAGCAGTGACGATAATACCGGCAACAGGCATAATGCTCTGCAAAAAAGCTCATCATTCATGGTCTTGCCCAGAAACGCACAGATTAAAACAGCAGTAGCGATGGCAACAACAGCAATTCGCTGCAGCAAAACACCACACCGATCGTCCCAGGGGCAGGGTAGCACTGCTACTCACAATGATCCCAAGTAAACTGACAACAACATATCCAGTACCGTACCAAGCCCAAAGTAGCCTCGCCATCGATGTCTTCCATCCCGCGGCTTTTCCGCCTGGCGCTAGGATGAACCAAGTCTCTGCCGGGTTTTGGACATAGTAAGCGTTTGGGGCTTAGGGGTTGAGGGCTGAAGGCTTCGGGTCTCGGATTTAGGCTGCCAAGAACTTTTTTCGCTTCGTCCTCACCTGCAGGGCCTTAGGTTAATCAGTTTTTTGAGATGTAAGGATGTTCAGCATCACGGATCCAAATCTCGTTGGGGCAACGAGTTTGGGGTTAAGGGCGCAGGATGACTTCAAAGGTTAAGCCCATATACAGTTTGGCCGGAGGGAATGCAAGCCCCTAATACACTTCGGTTCCGGGTTCGGGAGCCATAAAAGCTTTAGGGTTTAACGCTCATGCTGCAGGATTGAGAGGTTGGGGGTCGAGAGTTCTGGAATCCAAATCCATCGTCCGGGACCTGGCGAGTCTTGCTGCAGCTTCCTCCTTCGCCGCCTGCATCCGCGCCTGCCGCGAGTTGAAGTCTTGGGTGCTCCAGGGCTTTTCTGGGTGTTTCAACTACTTTAGAGCTGCTTGGGATATTTACGTGTTTGTGGCCTGTTTTCGTGGTTCCAGGCTTTCGGGATGCACAGGTTACGGTGTACTGTCGGGTTGTTGAGGATGGTTTAGGGTGGCCCTTTGCTTAACGCTTGCAGCGATGGTCTGATACTGCGGCATCTACGAGCTTAGCAAAGGATTGCAGAAGGATGTACTATAGGGGCCTGAACGATTACAAGTACTACTACATAGAGTCTTTTTGTATATTTAGGATATCAAATCTCCCAACCCTGAATCTGACTGTTCAGGCCCTATATTGGATATTGTCAAACCCCACTTAGTTGCAGGCACGACGTGGGTCAGACCTCGAAGAGGCTCTCCTCTTGCAGGCTCATTTCAGGTTCCGGCCAAGCTGCCCCGACTTCATAAGACCTTTAGGAGACTCCAGAAAGCTGCAATGTAGACCTTGATGAATGAACCCGCCTCCCCTCATAAAGAATATCTTCCTTGGACTTCTGATAGTAAGGCCCGTAAAGAACGGGCATTTATTACTGGGCGTCTACAGAATCTGCCACACACACATCTAACATAGGGGCGTGAATAGGTAGAATGGGGGTTTGTGCGTAGGGTATACTGTACTAAAACTCAGTATGGAACTCTAAGGAATAATTTTGGTAAGTATTCCGGCTTTTGTATTAAAGCCCTGGACCGGAAACCCGCAAGCCGGCCAAGAAGTGGGTATGCGGCTACTTGGAAGATCGGTGGGGGCTGCGTCGAGTTGAAAGTGTTGGTTGAAGTTTGTTTGAAATTTATGTATGTTCAGCTTTGTAGTTATATTCATATAGGTTTTATAGGTGTATGCATATATACATACATACATACATACATACATACATACATACATACATACATACATACGTACATACATGCATACATACATACATACATACATACGTACATACATGTCTCCCAAGTCCTCAGCACAACCCTACTTACGAAGTGCGCGATCCTCCAAATAACCAACGAAGCTACGACTGGCGAGGCTACGACTGGCGAGCACTAAGTGAAGCTTCAGCGCTGGATGCCCGCGAACTCTGCAAGAACGACCCGCGTAATGCAACTTAAACAGCCGCCCAGACCTGTTTAAACTATCTGAGCCCCTTCAGAACCCTACAAGACTTTCTTTCCAGAACAGACAAGCTCATCGAAACTGGATAAGCTTAGGCTTGGCTATCTCGGAAACTGTAGAACGCTCCGTTGGTGATAGCCTGCTCCTTCTCATGAGCTAGCAGCTCATAGGTCACCTGGTCTGTTCAAGGCGATGGGTTCAGGATTTACTGGGTTTAGGTAAGGGGAAAGGGGCCTACACACAACACGGTTGGTTGGATATGTAGCTGGATAACGAGAGCGAGCGAGAGCCAGAGGGAGAGAGCCAGCGAGAGAGGGAGTCTAGAGGATCAATGCTACTCAGCACTCGTCCTTGAGGCTTCCATGTTCGCGTCTTACAGAGCATGGCACGTTACCGAGCTCAAAGTTCACAGTAAAGCTTGTGCCAGCGTAGACACCGAAAAAACACAGAGAAGACACGGTCAGGCCCCACCACATCCGGACAACACCCTAACACCCAAAAACTACAAAACCTCATGTAACGGCAGGTAGGGTGCTATGACTTTAGAGACGTCGAGCGACTTCACGGCTCATGGGACTGTGGCCGGAGCACGACGTTCACCCGACATGTGTGCTGAACTGTGGCGAGACCAAGTTTTAAGTTGTAGAGTCAGGAGGTTGGGTTGTTCAACGAGTTTGGCATCCCGGCGGACGCAGCGGGACAGTGGCGGCCAGAGCCACCTAGTCCTCTATACTCTGAGGCTGAGAACCTCGTCTTCCCCGGGTAGTTGAAAGCAACGTATGCTCCGCTGCCAAACTTGTAGCATTCAGGGACGACAACCTCACCCTCCTTCACCCGTAGCTCAAGCTGATATCGTCCTCTGCACTGGGAGCAAGAATCCTTGCCCTGACACCATGCCGACCGAGCTGCCAATGGGCAGACCCTACTCGAAAGCTTGCAGTAGAGTTCAGACATGGCAGACATAACACGTGGTGAAAAGCTGGACGTGGAATGTACCATAGATTTCGATATCCCAAAGCCTCCTCCCACAAACCTGCAATGCAGAGCCCAAATGAATAAACCCCCTTCCTAGTAATAGCACCTGAAACAAACCCATCAATACCACATCCCCCCACAAAAAAATGTCAAACCCTAAGCCCATGAACCCCTACAAACCCGCCACGAAACTTCATGAAGCCCAAAAAACCTCCTATGCGATGACCCAGGCTATGCATTTGGGGGTTCCCTGTACAACTCCCAAGTACAGCTCCGCCCGAAAATTGATCTCTAACCCCTAAGCCCAAAAACAAACCGAATTGAAACAAGAAACCTAAACCCAATGCCCACATTCAAGCAAAGCCCCAAACCCACAACCCTAAACCCTGAACCCTAAACCCACCGCACCCCCCCTACATCCAACCCCGAACACCAAGAGCTCGGCGAGCCGGTCGATCAGCCACTCCTTGCGCGCCTCTTCCAAGCTGAGCCTCGGGTTCTCTCTTTGAGGGTCCCTGGGCTTTACCAGGTGAAGCTGGGGAGCCTCCACAGTCAGATCATAGAGGCGCATGACTGGTCGCGACGTGCTCAAAGACAGACAGTCGTGAAAATCAAGAAATGAGACCCATCAAGGAACAGCAAAGCACGGAAACCCTCAACGGAGAAGCCCAAACCTATTGCCAATTTCGGCTCTGGCACGCTGTACACACGAGTTGAACCGAGGACTTAAAGTTGAAAGGCTTTGCAGCGGACCACGCTCGCAGGATGCGAAGCAGAGTCTGTGGGAGCACCCGCCTTCCGGAACTCACCTCCGAACCCTGAATATCGTTCACTCGCTGCTGCTGCAAACAAAGGCGAAACCAGGTCGAAAGTCTTTGTAGATAATCTCGAGTTCCTGGATCAAAGGCGGCGCGCGTTCTTTGCACGAAAAGCCATCTGAATTCAAACTTGATACAGAGACGAACTGTGCTCGAATTTGGGGGGTGCATAGGATTCATCAGATCAAACCTGCCATAGTGTCGACAGGGTCTGATCGTCCTGCACCCGGTAGGCTTGCAGACGAATTGTGATGGAATGTGTATTGACTTATTGAGTACTGAAAGTGCCGTCATCTGTGCGGTGGCACAAACAGCTGTTAAATCAGCATGCACACCTGCCTGCAGTTGCAAACTGGTTGCACATCGACGCACGGACATCACGGAAGACTCAACCACATTTGGAGTGCATAGGATTCGGAGGCTCGGGTCTGTTTTGAAGCCTAAGATATACCCTCAATGGTCACAGGGCTACGTCTTGTCCGGCGCACTAAAACTCTGGAGAAGCCCTTATGCTCTGACACTGCCTCGAAGGCAATGACAGAAAATATAGACTACAGGATCACAGAATCTCCGACGGAGTTAGGTTTCTTGAAACCAGGCCGTGCGTGCACGCGAGCGGGCATGCAGCCAAGAGAGCTCACCGCTCACCATGCGAAGTTAGACTACTCAGCGTGAACATCCAGAAAACAAACTGGCACACGCCCTTAATAAAAGCAGGTAAGACTGGACTCTTACCCAGGAAGCAGCCACTTGACGACTTGCCTTGCGCTTAAAGGAAAAAGCTGAGTTTCCCCTCGGCGCTTAATACTATCGTGCAAGCTGGCCGCTGGTCCAAGGTCGTCGGACTGCCCGATGCAGTCGGTCCAACATAACCTGCCTCCATGGTGTTTGGATTGAAAGCGCTAGTCTGACATCCACAAGGTCCGGGTGGCACAGGCAGTGTCGGCTCTCCGTGCAGGACGCATGCACTCTGACGGTATCTCAGAGGGCCCTTGCCCCACAATGCCTCGCAGCAAAGTGGAGTTGTCTTTCCGAAACCCGGGACGAACTCTCCGTGAACTTTGCCGACGAACGTCTGCACACACGTCTGGCAGCAATGGATCACAGCAAACCCCCGTGACTTGCCATCTGGAAAAAGCGCCATCTCGATCTCAAAATCCGTGAGACCCTTTGTGTGGAGGAAACCGCACAAGATTCCCTGGTCACACTTCGCGGGGATGTTGCGCAAGAAGATCCCCACCATTTCCTCCCGGCCCTCGCCCGTTGCCATGTTGCGAAGCCGAAAGCCAAGGCTTTCCGGCTTAGCTTGAAAGGATGCCGAAGGGTTGAAGCCGAGAGCTAGCCCGTTCAAGCCAGAAACCGACTTGCGAAAAGCTAGACGAACTGCCTTGAGCCGACGGGCTCGGACAAGGAAGGCACTGAGAGAAACCCCAGAAGCATGTTGCCAGCATGTGCAGATCGCAGGGGTTCAGGCAAACCCAAACCCCACCATTTGACAAACTGAGCCCCCGGGCTGCGCAGAGGCCTCGAGGTGCGCAGTGGACCCCCGGAGGCCCCGTGCCCGGCACATCTTCTCCAACTGTCAGGGTTCCAGGCTGGGGCTTTGGGTACTGTCAGCAGTGCAGTTTAAGCTTGCAGAAATTGGAGGTGTTGGCTTTGGGGTCTTAGCTTTAGGTCTTGGGGTGCTGCAGTGCTGCGCGATGTTTTGGGTACACGGGGAATGCTACGAAAGCATGCCATGCACAAACTACTCTACTCCGAAGCCACACACAGTCTTCCTGTCACGGCCCCACAAACTCCTGTTCAGAAAACACAAGCAAACGAACCGATGTTGCTCGTGAAATCCCTACCGAATCCGAATACAGGGGCTTTGATTTGTTCGAATAAGGATTTTCGTCGATGTTATGGTAGAATTAGATTAGGAAGGGACTCTAATATGGCAGAGTCATATGACAACGCTTATACATACCCCCTTAAAGCTTTAGACTCATGCAGAAGCACGCTTCACTTCAAGAAACCCATATGTGCCTATGAGACCAGAATTGCACCGCAGGACCTGCAAAGACTCTGCAAAGGCAGGACTGGTCTCAACAGAGCCCAATCAAGATAACCAAACACCTCTAAAAGGGCCCTGCCTGCGAGAAGTGCTGCCGCCTCCAATCTGCCAGTTTCGGCTCTAACCTCGCTCTGGCATGTTGGGGTCTGGTTCTTTTGGCATTGGGGCTAGGGTTTAGGGAGAACCGGGGTTGAATAAGTATCGAGGGAGTGACTAAATACATTGCGAGGGCTTCGTACTGAAAGGACACGGTCTCGGTGCAGAACTTCTCGTGGCGGATATTCCGTGCCGCGCATCGACCGTGCAATATGTAGGATATGTAGGGTCTTGTAGGGCAAGCACCCGGAACGAGTCAGAATGATAGTACAGAGGTCTCAACAAGTAGCCATGGGCTTGTCATTTGTGTTGCTGTATTCCACGTGAGCTACTGACCTTAGATTAGAGTCTAGACTCTTGAACTTACCTGCAAAAAATCTCTCTCAGCCCAGCTGTGACGGCGCCACAGAGGGGCTTTCGCCATCTCTTGAGCAGGTTGCAATGGAGTTTGCCTCGGCCTCCCTCTGCTGAGATTGAGGCAGCACTTTCCAACCTTTTCGGGCTTCAGGTTTCAGGATTGACCCTAAATTGCAAACTAAACCCTAAACCAGGGCTTAGGGTTTAGAGTTCATGGTTGTGCGTGACTTGGGGTCTCGGTGCGCCTCATATGACTTAAAACACGACATCGCCTTGTTCACATGCTTCTGCGCATGCAACCTAGGTAGCCGTCCCTACCGGTCTACCCCTTATATAGCCCCAAGCCATTGACAACCCATGCAATCGTGAAGCTGAACGACTACACCCAAATTCGCCGAGAAAATCGCACACTGCTCCTGCATCTTAAGCTCGAGACCCTTGAATTCAGAACAATCCCCATGATGAAATGCGCCAGGGAAGGTGCCACACAGGTTCGCGAGAAGAGTCGCCCTTGCTCGCGAGGGCCCTGTGAGCGAACAGGACCAATGAGAAAGCTTCTGGGTGCTGCACAAGCGCACCTGAGACTTCCTCTCTTAAACCCGCAGCCCCCCACAAACTGAAAGCCCAAATGACCTGAAATACTCATTCCCTCTTGGACTGTGGGATTTTGCTTGCAAGGTGTCGGTTCAAGAATGATCTCACAAATGCAGGGGGTGTGCGGCAACAGATGTCCCTAAACACGAAATCTAAATCTAGCGCGGTCGAGCTTCACCAACAGGCCGACACCCAAACTTCGGGGAGGCCACATCAACTCCCCGAAAGTCATGGCCTGTCTGGAGACCCCGAACCCGAGATCCTCAAATATCAAAATCCTACATATCAAAAACCCCTACTCTAGACTCTACACCTCAGCGGGAAAGTTCGGAGTCAAACCTCAGATGTTGTCCGCGGGGGGGGCGGGGGGGGGGGGGG